ACTTCAGGGCAGATGTGTGTTGGACTTGTTGAGGAGGCGTGTTTCAACTTCTTATAAATCGAACATGAACAGCTACGTGGGCGTATTCGGCGCGGCATACTGAATTTTGTCAAATCGTCTTCATGTGAAATGGAAGGTTTTGCACAGAAGTTGTATTTTTTAGGTTTAGTGTGTAGGCAGCGATGTCCACGATATCTTGTAGTCATGATATAAGAAAACAGCATTTTAGATAGTTTTATCTCCCCATTACTTGGACATTGCCAAAAAATTTTCACGAGCATTTGTGGCCAACATCTGTGGATTGGTGAATATAAAATCTCTTTTATTGCACTATCACTAATAAAATCTTCAATCAGACTGTTGAGATTCTTCACGTACAAGCTCTCCTTTGGAATAGAACGGTATCCATAAACTATTCCCTGAAAAAAATTGAATGATATTGCTGTGGAAGCGAAAATATAAGTATTTGTATCATACCATAGAAAGTATTTCAACGAGAAATTGTAAAATAAACGGAAAGAGCAAGAGTTCCGGAAAGGCTGTTAAGGTTCCCAGGAGAGCAAATTTTCGAGTTTCTTCAAAATTGCCATTCAATGCCAAATTGGCATACGGCCTTATAATTTCAATTCACGTCCATTAAAGGCAGCGATACGATAAAGAGGGAGCGCATCGGGGAAGCATATGCACCACACGAAGCAGTTACTTGGCTGCCAAGGAAGCGAGGTGTGGCGCTTTCACGACGAAAGGTGCGCTGGTTGCTGAGCAGGACTTCGAAAGCACTCCGCCCCCAAAAGCGATCCGCCCACTAGTTTAGTTGGTGATTTGGACGAGCTGCGTTGCCAGCAGCGGCACAACTGGAGCAACTCGATTGGAGCGTGGTTTGGCATGCTGCCACCAAACGCGTTGCGTGAACTCGTTCATACGTCCGATTTCTGAGCTGTTACCTGTTCATGAGTGAAAAAAAACGGCCAAAAAAGGGGTCCCGTTTTGCGTTTTCTTGACGGATTTCTCAGCTTTTTTAGCCACTGCGTGCTATTAAGCATCATGGGTGTGGTTCACTAGGACAGAAAGCGACTTTTTCGCGTTTCGCAGCGCGAAACATTTTCCGCTGCGGGAACCTCAGGTCCACCGCTGATCATCAGTGGACCCGAGGTTCCCGCAGCGAATCGTGATCGCCGCCTCTAGATTTCCCGCAGCGAAATCAGCAGGGACCGAGGCTTCGGAGCGAAAATAATGTTTCGCGCTGGCGAATGCAAAAAAATGGCTTTCTGTCCTGAGTGAACCACCCAAGCACACTCTTCGTCTCTTTTCAACCCTTCGAATCTATCGTAATCGCTGCCTCTAAGTGAATGTGAAATTTACGCCCCTCATTATGACTAATGGCTGTTCAAATTTGTTGATTCTTTTGATGCCATTTATCAGGAGTCTTTTCAAAAATATCGAACGGAGAGGTTACACTATCACTCTTCAACAGAGTAGTTCTCGTCTTCAACAGGCAACAATAATTAGCATAGGACTCCATGAGAGGTGGAAAAGCCAGAACCGGTAGAACGACGGTATTTCTTTGTCGAAGGGTTGAAGAGTTGAACGATACGAAAAGACAGTTTCTCTCTACAGTTCGCATATAAGACAACGAAAATTTACCGTATTTCGCCCTCTCTCGTACTAGTTCTTTCCTCTCTAGCTGATATGTTTTGAATTGTTCCGGAGTTAGGGTGAAGAACTTGTAGAACTATAAATAGCTACCTCAAGAAGAGAAATAAAGCCATGAAGAAAAAACTATGAAAAGATTGGCACACTTACGGAACCCATGGATGGCCCAATCATTGCAGATGTCAGGAGGCCGAGCACTATCCATAAATGGGCGTGTGGATGCCGAAGAAAGAACCTCCTGAAAAGGTCACCGTTACGTCCACGAATATCCAACAAATATGATCAAAGCCTTGAAAGCGCAGCATTTACCTCACAAAAGCTGCGAGACAAAACCTTTTTTGCTCTGATAGTAGGTTGCGCGACTCCTTTGCAATGTGATAGACGGTATAAGTACGGAGAGTAGCCCTCGCATAACACTATAACACTATGCGCGCTTCCAGTTCCGAACTCGGAAATATGACCTACAGTAAATTCATGCAAAATATAAATTGAACCTAAAACAGCTGAAAAAAACACAAGGGCAAACATTGAAGGTCCATATCCAAGCTGCAGTACTCTGTGACACTTGCTCCTCGCATATTTATAACAACGTTATCATCAAATTTCAACATGGCATTTATATGTATTGAAATTGAGGCCTAATAACACGAACATAAGTTTCTAACGATAACAGCTAAGTTCTCCTGTACACGTAGACTGCGTCGATACCTTCACCAATTTGAGCAATAGATTGGAAGTGACCACATTCAGGGAGCGGAAATCGGCATGCCACAAGCGAAGTGCCAGATCTCATTTCACTGAGCTTTGGTACCATATCGCTCATCTGAATAGAAAAAAATTCAAGTTGTCAAAATCTGATTGAAGGCAAGATTCGGGATAAAATAGGTGTGGAAAAGCGTTCAGTTATGAAGCTATAGGTGGGAGGTGGTCTGTAAAAGAGAAGGAAAGCAAACGAAACCACCGATTACGCCCCGTACAGAGACCTCCCCTATTTCAGCCACATTCCACCTTGGGATAGAGAAGAGGCGAATTGGACGAGTTTCACGAACCTAACTCTAGTTGCTCCAGTGCCAATAACATTGGATCGCAATGGGACCGCTGCCTCAAATGCGCCCGCGCTTTTCAAGCAGCGCCACGTGGCAACCGACAGGGTGGGGCTTGCGGACGAAGGTGTGAGTTGCGGGTCGGACGAGCTCCTTGCGCCTTTGTCGCGCACTTTCAAGCGCAAAAGGGGCGCGACATCAACACTTGTCCACCTGCCTACTACCCCCTGGATGGAACAGGCGAGCCCGCCTGATCGCGGAGCGTGCCTTTAAGCATTATTTGGGGAAAATATAGCTAAATGGATCCATGCATCACGTCACATTGCATGGCATCATGTAGACAACACTCCCCGGCTAAGCAAGTCCCTACTAGCCATGGATGGTGAGGAGAATCTCTTCAACTTCATTTGTTCCCAAATTAGGGCTACTTCTATCAAAAAAGCAAAGAATGGGTGCGTAAAGATAAAAATCTGCTTAACGTGAGGGAACTATTCCAAAATGAAAATAAACTGATTCATCGAAACTTGATGACCGGTCGGGAGGATCAGACGACCCCAGACGCGACTATCGCTTCAATACTTGACAGGTGAATAAAGAAAAAACCTAGTGCTGATCACCGGCCCAGCCCTGCTAAAACATATTGCGCGTGAAATATCCATTCAAAATATGGAGCCATGCTCTTACCGAACATTCACGGTAACACTAAACCTAGTCACGAGATTCGCCTTCTCAGAACAGGGAGCTCAATACCAAGCTGTTATAGTTCGAGTTCCTATGTGAGTAAATCAAGAAAAATAGTGAATGCTGGGCAGAAACCTTAGAGTTCTTCAAAAAGACAGACGGTAATTAAGACGTCCCTAATAAGCCATGCTGCACTGAAAATGAAAACGTACCAAATTCTCAGCGCCGAATATAACAGCGGTGTTGAATGCACCTAAGTCCGTCTTGAAGATATCCATTCTATGGAAACTTTGCTTTCTTTCTAAGGCCATCTCTGGCAGCACGATATTTCGAGTAAGCCACCAAGATTCCATTCAACTCCACTCCTGTACTGAGGATGCCTTCCGAAGCGCATTGGAGTACCTGCAATTGGATTTAAAAAGGAACAAGTATGACTAATCCAAGATATCATCTCAACTTTCTGTACAAAGCCTTTGCTAAGCCGTAACCTGCGCTCAGACGCCGTAAACAACAACGGTAGAATTTTTAAAGGAGTCGTATGGAGTAACATGCGTTGGATTAAGG